GCCTAGACTAGCGGTGCCTAGACTCACAGTACCTAGACTAGCGGTGCCTAGACTAGTAGCTGGTTTCTCTAGGTCCTCAGCCCTTATTCTCTCCATCCCCTTCTTCCTGGCCCCCTTTCCTTTCCCATTTCCATTCCCACTTTCATACACATTCCTTCTTTGCTTAAAATACTGGATTTTCCTGCTGCTGGTACGCTCCAGGCTCAAACAAACAGGCTAAGACAGCAGCTAGTTGTCCTATTATCAGTGTTTTCTAGAACATATCGTTCTAGAAAAGGTACAGGAAACTTGAGGGGGCAGTTGCCGAATCCTGCCCATCATGTATCAGAATTATTCAAAACAGAAAACCTGAAGAATATTTGCCTCCTGAAGATCCAAGTTGGAAATAGTTTAAAGGAAGGTACCTCAATAGCAAGAGAAACACAGGAGATGCCAAAAGAGAACCGAGGAGGATGAGTGACCAAAGAATCTGTTCCAGATTACTGTTATCTCACAACAAGGGAAATGTGAAGTTAGGATCACAGAAACAAGGAAGTGTAGCTAAGAGTAACCGAGAATTACAGCTAGGAAAGATATCAGGAAAATGGGGCTGGAGGTGGCATGGGAAAGGAATAGGAAAATGTGCTGATACTTCTAAAATTAGGAATAAAACAAAACTAATAATACCAATAAATGTGATACATATTGGTATGAGTCATAGGTTAAGGGTGGCCACCCTGAGAAGAAAACTAGAATATATAACTTTTAACCAACCCAAGAAAACCTCAGTATACTAAATGGAACACAGGTATGGAGGGGGAAATACCAGCAATAAAAAACACAATAAATACACGTGGACCGGGCACAGTGGCTCATGCCTGTAATCCCTGCACTTTGGGAGGCCGAGGTGGGAGGATCGCTTGAGCTCAGGAGTTCAAGACCAGCCTGGGCAATATAGGCCGACCCCATCTCTGCAAACAAATATAGAAAATTAGCCCAGTGGGTGGCGCATGCTTGTAGTCCTGGCTACTTGGAGGCTGAGGCAGAAAGATGGCCTGAGCCCAGGAGTTAGAGGCTGCAGTGAGCTATGACCACGCTGCTGCACTCCAGCCTGGACAACAGAGGAAGACCCCGTATCTTAAAATAAACAAACAAAAAAGATGGCATAGCTAAATCCTAAACAGTAATAATTACAATAAAGGTGAATTACTAAACTCATCACATAAATCACTGAAACTCCCAGGCTGGATTTTAAAATATCAAATAATATACACTATTTTCAAAAGACAATGTTAAATGTAAAGTTTAAAAATCATAGGTGCTGTATCTGTCAAGAAAGGCTACTTTGTTTGTTTGTTTGTTTGTTTTAGCCACTACAATATGCTTTATTGTTCTTGGAAAGGGCTCAGGATTTCGTTTAAATCAGGCTGCACACTTTTCATCAGTCTCACATCTCTCTCCCCATGCCAAGCTGGCTTCAGCTGGCAATGCCGCATTAAATCCCAGGGAGACCTTCAGAAACTTCCAGAAGCCCCCACTCCTCCTGACTCCCTGCACCCCTACAGTCCAAGACTTCCTATGTTGGCCCAGGACCCCTGCTTAGGGTCCAGCCTGGAACTCACTGACCCGGCCCACTCCGGACCAGCCTGGTAACAGGAATAGAGCTGGAGGCAGACACCCAACTCTGCACCAGCAACTGTGCCACTGGGGACCTGGAGCCCAGGATGTGACGTGCCTGGAGGAAGCAGAGGGCCCCTGCATGAGTCACCCCAGCCCTCAAGGCTGTCACAGCTCCAGTGGCCCCGCCCCGCCCACTTGCAACTCCAGGCCATGGATCTGGAAATGCTTGGATTCTTGCTCCCTCTCAGACCCCAACCCTTCTTTTCTCCTTCTCTTTCCTCCTGGCCCCCTTATCTTTTCCCATTTCCATTTCCGCTTTCAGACTCGTTCCTTCTTTGTTTAAAACACAGATTTTCGGCTGGGCACTGTGGCTCATGCCTGTAATCCCAGCACTTTGGAAGTCCAAGGCGAGTGGATCACGAGGTCAGGAGTTCAAGACCAGCCTGGCCAATATAGTGAAACCCTGTCTGTACTAAAAATACAAAAAAATTAGCTAGGTGTGTTGGCAGGCACCTGTAATCCTAGCTACTTGGGAGACTGAGGCAGGAGAATCGCTTGAACCTGGGAAGTGGAGAGTATAGCCACTTGACATTGTGCAACTGCACACCAGCCCCTGCAACAGTGTGAGACTCCATCTCAAAACAAAACAAAACAAAACAAAACAAACAAACAAAAAAAGGCAAGATTCTTTTGGCCCTGGTGCACTCTAGGCTCAATCAAACCAGATGAAGACAGCAGTTTGCTGTCCATCATCACACTATGTTTTCTAGAAGATTCTATCCTGATGAAGCACCCCCAGACTGGTTGAAAACCAAAGTTACTCTTCCTTGGAAAATCTTTGTGGACACCTAGGTGGGCATTCAAATTTCCACGTTGTGGCCAGTTGCAGTGGCTGTAATGCAGTGGCCTGTAATCCCAGCACTTTGGGAGGCCGAGGCAGGTGGATCACCTGAGGCCAGGAGTTCGAGACTAGCCTGGCCAACATGGTGAGACCTTGTCTCTACTAAAATTGCAAAAATTAGTTGGGCACAATGGCAGATGCCTGTAATCCCAGCTACTCGGAAGGTTGAGTCAAAAGAATCGCTTCAACCTGGGAGGCAGTAGTTGCACTGAACTGAGATCATCCCACTGCACTCCAGCCTGGGCGACAGAGCGAGACTCTGTCTCAAAAAAAAAAAAAAAAAAAAAAAAAAGGCAAAAAAGTATTACCAACTTGTGTCAATCATGAGATCTCCAACCTCCATGCTGCCACCTTCAGGCCCCTGGGGGGCTCCAACTCCCCTCTGCACCTGTGCTATTCCTCTGAGCCCCATTCACTCCCACAAATGTCTCATTCATTCACTGGTTCACTCAGCCTCCAACCACCCTTAAATCATGTCAGGCTCACCAGGTGATGGAGAGAAAAATCATCCTCTGTGGGTCTGAAAAACATGCCTGAGTCCTGATGGTGGGTCTTGCTTTCATTTCCACCCCCTCACAGCACCCCCAGGGCCATGAAGAGGCCACGGCCTGGGCTCAGAGCTCCAGCTCTCCTCAGGGTGGGCCTGGCATTTGCTGACTTCAGGGAGGGCAACAGGGCTCACAACTGAAATAGGAGACCTGCCCTGGGTGCTTAGCATGTGCAAGGACAAGGTTCCTTGTAGAATCTGCTCATTTCATCTGTGTTTGTAGCATTTGTCATTTTTCCACATGTGGACATTCATGCCCAGAAAGCTGAAGAACCTTGCACAGGAATATTCAGCCACCGTATCAGCTGACTTCCACGTCTGAATGCAAGATCTCTAGATCACAGCCATTACAGTCACTTTTGAGCCACTTCTATCCCCATCATGGGCAGACCTGAGTCTGGTGGCCAGATGCCTGCAGCAGGGGTGAGGCACCAGGGCCCAGGTGTGCAGAGAGGCCCCTCCTCCTGTCATCTGGCTGTCCTGCTTGGGGCTCTCCTGCCAGCCTCCTCCTGCTTTCGTCCTGTTCCCTCAGTCACTGACCCAGGTCACCCAGCCTCAGGGGTGGGGCTGCCAGGGCCTTCCCAGTGGCCTCCTCCCAGGAGTAACCTGGGCTCCTGCCCTCAGCCCTGTACATGGGAGGCTCTTCTCACACACAGATCCCTGGACCCACCAAGCTATGCCCCTCCCAAATCTGAGAACTGCCCACCCCCCTGTGTCTGTTGTCCTCCAGACTACCCTTCACATGGCCCCTCCCGGACAGAGGCTCTAGTGCTTCAGGCCAGAACCTTTTGGCTCCTGTGTCCCTGCTCAATCACAGAGATGGCTGCCATCCCATGTCCCTGTCCTGAAGCATAGACAGGTCCTGGACTTGGTCCAGGCCTCCTCCCCTTTCCCACATCCTCAGGACCCTGGGGATTGATGGTCACCAGGTGAAGGTCTCCCCACATGAAGACTGTGCGAGTGGGAGGTCTGTGCCTATTCTTCTCATTCAATAGCGGAGCCGGCTGAGTGGCTGGGGACAGAGTGGGACTCAGGGGCTCTGCCCAGTCTTCACCCCAGGCTAAGCCCTCCCTTGAGGCCAAGGGCCACTGGGCTCCCCACCTCCCTCTGGCTTCTGCCCACAGATCTAGATGGTTTCATGATGACTGAGACAAGGATGCACTCGGGTTGCCCCTTTGAGGATGGCTGCAGTGACCATCCAGAGACTGAGCCAAGGTGCGGATGCAGCCATGGATTTGGGTGTGGTTGGACCGAGAAGGTGTGTGGCAAAGTGAGCCCCACGCATGCGTAGACCCCTCCCTCGGCTTCTGCTCTCCATGGAAACACAATTGATCACATGATGATTGATCACTGTAGGCCTCCAGGGCTTTCTTTTTTTTTTTTTTTTCCCCCAGAATTCATGAAGGGATATAGAATATACTCAAAGACCTCATGCTTTTAGTGGAGAGGCAAAGAAGGTCCGCTCCGGACTGGGGAAGCGGCTGCGCCCTGAACGGAGAGGGGCGGGGACTCCGCGACATCGGCAGAGGGAGGGCGGGTGTCGCTGGCGCAGGCGGTGACGGGGAGACACCGCCGCCACTGAGTATTCCTGTGCAAGTTTCTTCACCTTCCTGTGCGTGTTTACATTGTGGTAATGATAAATGCTGTGTTGAAAACTTAGGTGATGGGGCCATGGAAGGAATCGCGTCCTGGCCCGCTCGGGGCCTGTGCAAGCCGCCACCAAGCCGCGGGGGCGGGTTGGAGGGGAAAGTTTCATCAGCCAGGCCGCTGCCAGATGACAGCGTGACGGGGTGGAGCATCCCTAACAAGGGCAGGCTAGGATCCCGCCCAGTGGATCCCAGCCCGCCCCGGGGCGGGGTGCCGCGAAGAGGGGCGGGGCTAGGCAGCCTCTATAATTAGCAGGCCTGGGAGCCCGGAAGCGATTTATCAGCAAGACTCCACGTGGACCGCGCCTCCTGCCCCTGCGCTCCAGGTCTGCAATGGCAGCGGCCGCCGGCACTGCGTTCCTTCTGTGCCTCTCCTTTCTGCACCTGCTGTCTGGCTGGTCCAGGGCAGGGCGGGCCGGTGAGTTCGGGGATGGAGCCTAAGCGGGGCGGGGTCCAAACCTGGTGGGCTGAGCACTGCAGCGGGTTTCAGAGGAGGGGAGGCTTCTGGAAGGACTGGCGCGATCTCCCGGAACATCGCGGTCTCCCCGAACATCTCCGTTTCCCCGAACATCGCGGTCCCCCCGAACATCGCGGTCCCCCCAAACATCCCCGTTTCCCCGAACATCGCGGTCCCCCCGAACATCCTGGTTCCCCTAACATCCCTGTTTCCCCGAACATCGAGGTTTCCCCGAACATCGCGGTCTTCCCGAATATCGCGAACTCCCCGAACATGCCCAGCTGAAGGCACTTAGTTCCCCTCTGTGGCTCCTTTCCGCCGGGCCGGCTTCCTGCGGCTGCTGCTTGCTCTGCAGGCCAGGAGGAGGCTTCTGGAAGGACCGGTGCGATCTCCCCAAACATCGCGGTCTCCCCGAACATCGCGATCTCCCCGAACATTGCCATCTCCCCGACATCTCGATCTCCCCGAACATGCGCGGCTAAAGGCACTCAGTTCTCCTCCGCTGCTCCTTTCCGCCGGGTCCCACTCCTGCTGCTGCTGCTAGCTCCGCAGGCGAGGAAGCTTATGGATGCACCCGCGCTATCTCCCCGAACATCGCGATTTCCCCGAACGTCGCGATCTCCCCGAACGTTGCGATCTCCCTGAACATCTCGATCTCCCCGAACATGACCTGCTGAAGGCACTCAGTTCCGCACCGCAGCTCCTTTCCGCCGGGTCTGCTTCCTGCGGCTTCTGCTTCCCCGCAGGCCTGGAGGCTTCTGGAAGGACCCGCGCAATCTCCCCGAACATCGCGGTCCCCCGGAACATCCCGGTCTGCCTGAACATCGCTGTGTCCCCTAATATCGCGATGTCCCCGAACATCGCTGTCTCCCGGAACATCGCCGTCTCCCGGAACATCGCGATCCCCCCGAACATAGCGATCTCCCCGAACATCCCGGCTGAAGCCACTCAGTTCCCCTTCGCGGCTCCTTTCCGCCGGGCCCACTTCCTGCGGCTGCTGCTTGCCGCGCAGGCCAGGAGGCTTCTGGATGGGCCGGCGCGATCTCCCCGAACATCGCTGTCTCGTCGAACATCGCGGTCCCCCCGGACATCGCGGCCCCCCCAAACATCGCGGCCTCCTCGAACATCGCGATCGCCCCAAACATCGCGGTCCGCCGGAACATCGCCATCTCCCCGAACAACGCGATCTCCCCGAATATCTCGGTCTCCCGAACATGCCCGGCTGAAGGCACTCAGTTCCCCTCCGCGACTCCTTTCCGCGGGGTCCGATTCCTGTGGCTGCTGCTTGCCCCGCAGGCCAGGAAGCTTCTGGATGGACCGGCGCGATCTCCCAAACATTGCGGTCTCCCCAAACGTTGCGATCTCCCCGAACATCACTATCCCCCCGAACATGCCCGACTGAAGGCACTCAGTTCCCCTCCGCGGCTCCTTTACGCCGGGTCGGCTTCCTGAGGCTTCTGTTTGCCCCAGGAAGCTTCTGGAAGGACCGGCGCGATCTCCCTGAACATCGCGTTCTATCCGAACATCGCGATCCGCCCGAACATCCCGGTCTCCCCGAACATCGCCATGTCCTCAACAACGCGATTTCCCCAAACATCGCTGTCTCCCCGAACATCCCGGTTCCCCTGCACATCGCGATCTCCCCGAATATCGCTGTCTCCCCGAACATCCCGATTCCCCCGCAGAACGCTATCTCCCCGAACACCGCGGTATCCCCGAACATCGCGGTCTCCCGGTACATTGCGGTTCCCCCGAACATCGCGGTCTCCCCGAACATCCCGGTTTCTCCGAACATCGCTGTCCTCCCGAACATCGCGATCCCCCCAAACATCGCGGTCCCCCCGAACATCGCCATCTCCCCGAACAATGCGATCTCCCCGAACAATTCGGTCTCCCGGAAAATCGCGATCTCCCCTAACATTGCCATCTCCCCGAACATCTCGATCTTCCCGAACATGCCCGGCTGAAGCCACTCAGTTCCCCTCCGCGGCTCCTTTCTGCCAGGTCCGATTCCTGCGGCTGCTGCTTGCCCCGCAGGCCAGGAAGCTTTTGGACGGACTGTCGAGATCTCCCCCAAAGTCGCAGTTTCCCCGAACGTCGCGGTTTCCCCGAACATCGAACATCGCCGTCTCCCCGAACTTTGCGATCTCCGCGAAAATCGAGGTCCCCCCAACATCGTCGTCGCCCCGAACATCGCCGTCTCCCCGAACTTTGCGATCTCCGCGAAAATCGAGGTCCCCCCGAACATCGCCGTCGCCCCGAACATCGCGGCCTCCCCGAACTTTGCAATCTCCGCGAAAACCGAGGTCCCCCCGAACATCGCCGTCGCCCCGAACTTTGCGATCTCCGCGAAAATCGAGGTCCCCCCGAACATCGCCGTCGCCCCGAACTTTGCGATCTCCGTGAAAATCGAGGTCCCCCCGAACATCGCCGTCGCCCCGAACATCGCGGTCTCCCCAGACATCCCGGTCTTGCGGAACATCACGGTCTCCCTGAACATCTCCGTCTCCCCAAACATCGCGATCTCCCCGAACATGCCCAGCTGAAGACACTCAGTTCTCCTCCGCGGCTCCTTTCCCCCGAGTCCACTTCCTGTGGCTGCTGCTTGCCCTGTAGGCCAGGAGGCTGCTGGATGGACCAGTGCGATCTCCCCGAACATCGCGGTTCCCCCGAACACCTCGGTCTCCCCGAACATCGCGGTTCCCCCGAACGTAGCGGTCTCCCCGAACATCGCGATCACCCCGAACATCGCGATCCCCCCGAGCATTGCAGCCTCCCTGAACATTGCGATCTCTCCGAACGTTGCTATCTCCCTGAACATGCCCGGCTGAAGGCACTCAGTTCCCCTCCGGGGCTCCTTTCCACTGAGTCGGCTTGCTGCAGCTGCTGCTAGCCCCGCAGGTCAGGGGGAGCGTCAAAGAAGGCTGAAAAGGAATCCGAGGAGGGTGGAGGGGCCAAAGGGCTACAGAGGGCAAGGTGGGGCGGGGATCCCTGGTGCAGACCCTCCCTGGTGCAGACCCAGAGCCCCACTCGCCCTAGGGAAGGAGAAACCAGATCCCCGAACCCTAGCTGGGGTCAGGACAGGGGTGAAGGGGAGTTCCACAGGGAAGCAATCACAGACTCCCCCACCAGCCACAGCTGGGCTCTGCTCTGACCTGCTCTTCACCACACAAACCTTCCAGCACCTCCAGGGCTTCCTGCCCTGGAACTTCCCCCTACACTTTGGGGCAGACACTCACCTGCACCCAGGGGCTCACCAGACACTTCCTACCCCTCCCCTCACCATTCACTTTCACCACCGAAGGCGCATCCTTTCACTCTCCATCTCAGCTCACCCCAGTCACCACACAGGCCTCCCTCACCTCCCCATCCATGAAGGAGCCCTTAGCACCTCCTCCACCAACTAGCACCTTCTCCCCTTTTGCCTGAGGACACACCCCAGCAAACACACCCCACGCTTTCCACAGAACTTAGTGCAGGGGGGATGGGAAGGACCATTTCCCTCAGGATGACCCTAGGAGCACCCGTGAGTAGAGGCGCCCACTACTTCCCTTGGGTTCCAGACCCGCCTGTTCTTCCTACTGGGGCGATAGGGTTATATAGAACAGTCACTATGCAGACAGGAGTCAGCAAACCCTTTCTAGAAAGGAAAGGCTGAAGGCACTTTGGTCCTTGCTGGCCATGGGTACTGTGTGTCAAGTCCTGTCCCTTTGTGGAGAAACAGCAGGCAACGGCAACCTGCAAATAAAAGGGAGATCAGATGTGGACACCATCCTAGGTTGCTGACCCCAGGTGAAGGCACATGCTGGGTCCTGGCAATTGCTGCCCCATCCCCTAGGGTGTCATCTCCAAGTAATGTAAGTTGAAGAGTCACAGGTGTGTCTGACCCTGCCTGTGGCTTCTGGGTGGTGTGGATGTGATGGATGCTATCCCGGCCCTCGAGATGGTGGAAGCAGGCCCTGGAGGGGGGAGTGGGAATTTGGGGGACAAGAGACACGAGAAATGGAGACAAGACAGTGCTCTGATCAAGTCTCGTTTAATGGTGGTAATGCAATGCCTTATATACACTTGGAGGGGAAGGGGTTGGGCCAGAGGCGGAGATGATCTCATCGCAGAGGGCGTGACCAAGTAGGTATTGGTTTCTCTGGTCGAAGGTCATGTTGCCCCTGCGCTACAAAGTAACAATTTTTGCTGGCGCGGGAAAAGTGAGCTGAAGAAGAAGCAGGAAGAGCGCCATCTTGTGTGAGGTATTAATACAGGGAGAAAGGTAAATCTAGGGAGGAGGTAGAAGGTGGAAATGAATAGAGCTCAGGCGTTTTTAATCGTCAGTTATTATTCGCTATGGCCGGGGCGCATAGCTCCGGACAGGTCCCCCTTTTTATTATTTTATGATAAGAAAAACAACCCCTCGGGAACTGCGCCTGTCTTAGGTTGGGTCAACTCATCCCCACCTTCTAGGCCCGTCATGGGATAAGGCAGCAGCAGGGGCGGCCCTCCTGTCTTCGGGCTCCGATGGAGATAGTGTCTCGGTACGCCGTTCATTGACTGTCCAGTTCAGCACCAGGGGAGGTGGGTCTTATTAAGGCAATATAAGAGCTCACGCATATTTCAGTCAATCTCAGGCATGATACTGAGAACCTGTACTATAGGATTTGGCTGGACAGGGGGGGCCCTCGGATTTTGTTGTTCCCCCCCCCCGACGAATTGACCGAATGGCGTATACAGACTCTATTCGGAGGATTTAGGACCGAGCAGCTGTGAGAAGGAGGAGAA